CTCCCCGTCCCTGTGCCCCCAAAACAAGTTGCTCAAGGCTCCATCCTGTGCCCCACCGTGGCTGGGCAGCACCTATTGGCACCTCTTCGCTTTGGCACCCAGGGCAGGCACCCCATTCACACCTGCCTTGCTACATCATTACCATCCTGGTATGATTTTTGCTTAAAGACAACATAGCTTGCAGAATAAGCTTAAAATAAACTTCACCTACGTGGAGAAATAATTCTCACTTTCGCTCTGATTATAGACCCACACATTGCTGAACTGCTCTTGACTTGTCGATTCATGTACCCAACTCTTATGTATTACACTCACTCTAAAGAATGGGTTCTCACAATATAGCTTCTGGGAGGGTACTGTGCCAAGTACATGACATTAGGCACAAATAGGCCCCCACCGTTATGTTAGACCTACCTGGCCCAAACCCACAATTGTCCAGTGAAGTCAAGTGAATTTGAATGACTCGCCTCCACTTTTCCTGTGCATGCTGATATGGGGAAAGGGAAATAATTAGCATCAGCTATAGTACTGATACCTGCTGCTCTATTCTCTTAGTCTACATGACCAGCCTACACATTCAAATCCTTGGCTGCAAACTGAATTTTGAACCCTTTCTAAAGAACCGTGAAGAGAGCACACATCACAAGAAAGCTGATTATCTCTTCCATGTGGGAAGAGGTACTGAGAAAAAAAGCAGCTACAAATGGGTCGCAGCAGAGCAAAGGAAGAGAGAACAAAACTGTGAAAATCTGGCTGCTGCACAACAAACCCTGTAGCAAATGTGTTTAAATTGTCCTTATATTCTTGAAAATACCAAATTCTGTGGCCACAGATTCATAGCAACCACAAGGCCTTGGGTGAGACTGGGGATTGTGTAACTCTCACAGCTATCATTTCAGACACCTGGCATAGCCTCCACAGCCTCTATTTTACACTGATTTTTTCTGACCTTATCTTCACAAACAGGGTTAAAAACTTAATTAAAATAAATAAAGTGAGGTTCAGGAACACAACACTGTGGCAAGGGATGAAATCTGGGAAAATTCCATGACTGCAGAAGCAGAAAAAATGCAATATATTGCCTGACTTCCATAGAGGTCACCCTGAAAGCTCATGCAGAGCCCATTAAGGCATCTTGAACTTCATTAAAACATGTTGTTATTTTCAAACAGCTCCATGCAATGTCTTAGAAAAGGAAGATACAGAATTTACTTGGCATTCAGAAAAGAATAATTCTACCAGATACTTAGCATGAAAAGCCTCTGCTAACAGAAACAAAACCACAAGTGACATTTACAATGACATAGAAATCACTTTTGCCTTTCAACAATCTAGTTTAATGAACCAAACTGTATCTTCAAATGAATCCAATTAGAATTCCTCCTCCTCTGCTTTCTTTGCCTTTTATTCCAGTTAAATAAGACTACTCACAGGCTTAAAATGAAGCATGTGTTTAAGAGCTTTACTGAACTGGGGCCTAATTTGCAGCATCTGACAGTTGATACTTGATTTTACTATGACAGCTCTAGTGGTAATTGTAGCAATGACTGCATGGCACTTCAAAAGCATTAATGAATTAACAAGATCAAGTTAGTGGGATGATATTTTCCCCGTTAGACTGAAGCGGAGAGAAAAATTAAGTACAGCCAAGAATAGTCTCAACACCCAGTCCCCAGATCAGCATAGGAGCATAGATTTGGAAGGGACCACCTAGGCCAGTAAGTCCCGTCTACTGCAATTTCAGGCAACCAGGAAGTAGATATTTAGTTCGTTCCAGCCCCTGCCTGTATCACAGTCAAACAGCATTCCTGAGCTTTCCATAATAAACTTACAAAATGAGAAACCAAAACTAAGAAGCCCTATAACCCAACCAAAACCAAACACCAGAAGCTACAAACAAGAACCTGCAATATGCCACAGAAAGAAAGCAGGAAAGACCAAAAGCACAGCCAATACACCTTGGGCCCAAGCCATAGTAGGAAATTGACTAGATGATACAAGCAAAAATGATCCGAGGAAGTGGATTACACCACAGGATACTGAGGAAGACAAAAAAAATGCCAACAGAGTTGGCATAAGATTCCTTCCTGACCTGAAACCTGGTGATTGATTTAACCCTGAGCGTTAAACAGGACGCACCCCAGGAAGACACTAATGAGGTTTCTCAGTACCATAAAGAACAGCAGTGCACCTGGCCCACCTCTTATCTTTAGTTGTGACTTATATCTGATGGTTCGGAAGAAGGTGAATGCTCCCATCCACTCCCAGATAAATAATGCACTCAAACGGGAAAAATGTCTTCTTAGCCCCTAAAGGTGACCAACAGAAGCCCTGAAGCATAGGATTAATATGATACAATAAGGATTGTAATCATATTAAATAGTCAAGAGAGAGGAAGATCAGCAAGGGAAGGAAACTTAATCCAGAAAGAGCATTTACAATCATCTGTATTATTTACATATAAACAACCTAGGTAAAACACAACCTCAAAAACCACACTCACCTCAGGAACCCCAGATATCGCAAGCTCACCACCTCATCACAAAAACCACTGCAATACTTAACCTCCTTCGGCCACTAGGAAACCATGACTTTCCCTGTGACAACTTTCTCTTACCTCAGCCTCTCTCAACAAACCAGACCCTCACCATGAGTCAAGTTGAGCAGCCCTCTTGCATAATCAAAGCTGCTTTCAAACCTCCCATGGGGATGCCAACAAACATAGCATTTGAAGTCTCATACCACAAGTTTAATTTGTAATTCTTTGTCCTATCATATTCCACCTTCTGTGAACTTATCAACCTATGGTTTAGGTTCCCTACTTCATTATTTTCTTTTAAAAAGCCATACCAGAACTTCACTGCTTAGAAACCTTCTTTTAATTTTCAGTTTCTCTCATTACCAATTTGTACCCATTAGATCTCATACTAGTAATGTTCTTTAAATTGTATTAACCCCCCAAATATATCTATAGAAAATAGTCATGTTTCACTCAACCACAGTTTTGTTAGGCTAGACTAGCCAAGCTTTTTTTAACCTCCTCTCCTGACCTATCTCCAGTTCAATAGAATTACCACCACTCTACGGACACCTACATTTTAGAAAACTTGGGACAATTCAATGGGAAGGGAAAACCAGTTTGGACCTTAGCATGGTACAGATAAATCCATTTAACAAGAGATAACTACATTATCAGTAGAGAGTAAATTCATATTTAATTTAATCTATGGGTGTTGGTTCAAGTTTCACAGACTCTCCAGCAAATACAAATGCTTACTTTAAACATGGCTGCTTGAGGCTCTCCCAGTTCATGAAATGGAGGCTTGCCCGTTGACATTTCAATGATAGTACAACCCAGTGACCAGATATCAGCTGGTGCTCCATATCCCCGAGGTCCTTTATCTATAATCTCTGGAGCCATATACTGCAAAGTACCTGTTAAAGACAAAAAAGGACAGTCAAATAGAGAGGGTACACCATCACTTGATTTGCAAGTTGGGTTAGACCTCTGTTCAAATACCATCATTGCAACAAAGTCAGAAGACTGCATAGAAGATAGACTGTATTTTGACATGTTTCTCCCCTGACATGAAAGGCTTCAGACTAGCAAAAATACACTTCCTACATAATCCAGATGTTTTCAATGCCTTATTGTTAAGCCAAGCTTACCCCTACTTTTTCAGCCACTAAATGGAAACATTATGGAAATACAAAAGTCCACAGAAAGCAGGATAATAATTAACACATTTTATTTCCAAGAATAATCACTAGGGGTGCGCAGAGTCGGCAGTACTCAATTTGGATTCAGATTTTGCCCAATTCAGGGGACAGCGATTCAATTCACTGATTCCAGATCACTGTTCTGATTTGATTCAGCCGAATCTGAAGATTCGATTCAGATTCGGAAAATCAGCGATTCGGCCGTAGACACAGCTTTTTATGCTTTTTCCATGTACCTCAAGGTACCAGGTACAGCTTGTGAACGCTGAGATGGTCGGGCAGATAGAGTGTTCCACATGAGCGTGGGGGGCCCGCTATGAAGTGCTCGGGGGGACCCCTGCCACGCCCTCTGCTTTGACAGTTGGCTGCAGGGGGACCCTGGGTGCCCCCCCAAACCCAGGAGGCACAAGTCACTGAGCCGGGTGGTGGGGGGGTGTCCCCTGCACACTCCACAGCAGACCTGGAAGTGGACTGGAAGTACTTCTGGGTCCACCACTGAGTGCGCAGGGGACCCCCCACCCTGGACTCCAGTGGAACGCTCCATCTGCCTCACCACTTCAGCGTTCACAAGCCACCTGGTACCTTGAGGTACATAGAAAAAACATAAAGCTGTGTCTATGACTGGATCATCAAATCTCTCCAAATCTTTCCGAATCGAATTGGAGAGATTAATGGATCTCCTGATTCAATTCAGATTCGGCCACCGAATCGGGCTGAATCTCC